CCAGACCACCCACTTCAGGCTGCCTTCCTTCAGGCTTGTCTCCCACAGCCATTTCTCATTGCCAGTGCAAACCAGAGGTGACAAATAATTTCCAATGTGTCCAAAAGGGCATATTCCTGGCTGCCAGAACCGCTGTGGCAGGAGACCATCACCTAGTGAAAAACAATAATTAAAAACAATTCCTGGAGGCTAGTGACTCCCATGTGCAAACTGTCTGGTGCAGGAAGGTATGCACAGACCAGGGAGCTCCAGTTTCACAGCAGTAAAATTACAGTAAGATCTGCTTGCTGTGTGGGAATAATTTTTGGAACAAATGGAACTATGAGGAAGGTAGATGTCACCCTTCCCTTCTCTTTAACGTGGCTGTTCCTTTCCAAAGAACAAAAGTCATGTCTACAATTACACGAAAATCTTAACATCTTCGAGGACTGCTCTGAACAAGCAGGACAAAAGGATCACCTCCCTCCTTCCCTTCCCCATTACATTACTGATCGATTCTGTTAAAAAAAAGGTACACTCATTACTACACTTACCTGAAAAGGCAGTTACCTTAGTTTTTGAAGCAAAACAAACATTAATAAAAATAGTAATGAACTGTATATTGCACTGAAAGAACAATGGGTGTCTACTCTGCAGTTTCTGCTTCTCCCACCCTCCCAAGGCAGCACAACTACAGAGGAGGGAAGAGCAGAGCCTGCCCCAGCCTCCCTCTGCACTCACAGATGCACTAACCCCTGTATCTGTAGATCTCTCTAATGTCTCCTATACTGTCTTGCTACCCACTTGGGATTATTATTTCACCAATGAAAGCTATCTCCCCTCTAAAAATAGCACTCTCTTCCTATACACACTGTTCTTACACAGACTCAAAGATTAATTAGCCATTTATTATATTTACCTTGTCTTCCTCTCTGGAATCCACTGATACATGTTCTCTTTAAACCTTTCCCCCCTGCCCAGCCTGGCCTCATTCCTCAAGGGATTCTATGCAAGCAGACCAAGGGCAGCCTTTGCTTCTGAACTTGGAAACTCAATCCTTCTAAGGCTGCACCAACTCTGAACCTCTCTTCCCCGAGCCATTTGAGCCTCCTTAGTTTTAGCTTCATCCTGGTTTTCACAACTGCAACAAATTAATTGATCATCTGCTACATTTCCAGGCCACAAGGCCTAAACAGTTAAAACAAAACAGAAAAAACCCCACCAAACAAACACAAGAAATTATAGCTTCACTTCAAAAGAATTTTTTTAATTTAGAAATGCAGTTATATACATAGAACAATTAAATTAAACTTTGTACAAATATTAAAATACTATTTTCACACCCACTGCAATGTACAGGATACCAGAAAATACATATAAAATAAAGCAAAATAAAACTGATTGAGTGACATCCTGCACAGCATCAGTTATGGTTTTAAATCCCACATATATATGGAGTACCATTCTGCAAATAATTCCATAGTGGTGCAATTCAGATAAAAAGAAAACACATACAAGAAAGAAAAGATTAATGCAGAAAGGCAATCAAGCTCCCCTTGCACTTGGATCAGCAACTACCAGCAGTCTACCCACCCCATCATTGGACTTCTGCCTCACAGACAACTTCACTCTGTCTTCTTTTAGGAGGAAGCAACTTGGAGAATCTGAACTAAAACATTTTCCAGCAGAACTCAGTTGCCTCTGTCTGATCTCACTCAAGGACAGAAGCAAAAGCATAGTTTACAGAAAGCATATGCAGAGCATCAGTAGAACATGTTCTGGTGGGTACAGAGATCTGAACATCACCTGCAGAGGGCTGAGTGTGAAAGCAGTGCTGAACACAGGGCCCTGAAGTGTGGGAAGGGGCGTGTTCTGTCCTGGTGTGCTAGGACTGGAAGAAGGCTTACTTCTTGTATAAAAAACACCTTAAAATGAAGCCTGCTCTAGGAAACCTCTTTGCACTTTCAAAGCTTATAGCAGAGAAAAACTGTTTACTAATGAAGCTCTTCTGCAAGTGAAGGTTTTCACATAGAGCAAATTCAATCTGCTGTTCCCTGGTAAGGACTGAAGGGTGAGGATAGGGTGAGGCAGAATGTGCAAAATGAATGGGATTTATTGCATTTATATACAAAAAAAACCAAAGTGAAATTTATTTAAATAGATATCTGGATAGAGTAACAAGGCTGATTTTTTGTTTAAACTGCTATCAGAACAGTAAAACCACATTTTTTGCAAGTATGTTCTAAAAAGGTCAGCAAGGACAGCTCAGCATGTCCAACCGGTTGTACATTATTTTTTTTTAATACAGCAAGCCTGCTGGTGTATGCTAAATCATCTAACAAAGCACAAGCTTCCTTACAACCTGGTCATGATTGCAATAGCTCATTAGCCTGTAGTAAACCTCTGTTTTCTGCTCTTCCTTAGACAGCTCCTTGTGTTCCCTTTTCTGTGCTGCAAACAACTGAATCATCCCAGATTATTTCCAGTGGCTGAGCCAGTTGCTCTCTTAGCCCCATTCCTGAGTACTGACCCAAGTCATCCACCTCTTGGAGCACCTTAGGATGTTTCTTCCCAAAGCATGTGGTACAGATTTCTTCCTACACAACTGAGTTCTCCACACACTGAAAGGCCAAATTAAGACCCCAGATGCAGTAAACAATTCACCACACCAGAGCTGAAAGGCCAAGGAGAAACTTCAGCAGACATGTCCAAGGGGTGAAAAGCACTATGCTTGCTGAGTACACGTCCTGCTACCCAGCAACTTCCCTGGTGGTTAAGGATAAAAATGCATTAAGCTGTTCTCCCTCCAAAACTCATGATGTTTCAACTCAGCAACAACCCCAAAGGCTCACATGCTTCAGTGCATCCCTCCTGACTTAATTTTTACACGTTCTGCAATTAATGATGGGGAGGCACGAGCTATTTGAAACCAGAACGCACAATCCCCTCTCTCACCAGTGCTGCTGACACCCTTCAAGGCGGCAGGAGGCTGTGACACAGTCCAAGCTGGCTTATCATTTGAGGTGAGCTTCATGATGCAGCCCCTGATGAGAGACTGGCCCACTTCCCCATGGGTCACTGCCAGCTTCACATCATGGTTCTCTCAGGCTGGTCCAGTTCTACAATGCTTGGGCTGTAAACACCGCAATGAGTTGCATTTAGTTTTTAAAAGAACTATGGAACTGGAAAGGAGCAAGGAAGTTTCTCTATTGCACATAATATCCTGAATTTCTGAAAGGCCCTTCCCCCCCTCAACTGTCAGACTCCAAAAATAATGGAAAGCTTTAAAATAAGTGCTATTTTTACTTTTCTCAATATAATTAAATAATTTTAATGTTCTTGAATATCACAGAATCCAGCACATATGACAAAGCATGAGATGATTAGGTTGGGAGTGTTAAATAAGAAAAAATGCCTCCTGTTGAAATCTTCTCCCAGACATCAGTGGTGGAAGAAAAGGTATGGAGAGTGTGGCCCCATCAGGGGGAAAAAAAGGGGGAAAACCCCATTTACTGTACTACATCTGCAAGGCTGATCCTCTGTGCTTCCTATCCACAACACTGAGATCCAGGCTGCATCTACTTTTGGCAAAATCCAGAGAGAACACACTCAGCTCAGCGATAACAAACACTTCTGAGGCAGAGCACAGTTCACATCTGAGCAAGGCTTCAGGCCTTGCTCCCACACATAAAGACAGGACTGTACAAAGTTGATTTCCTGTATCTCTACCCAAAGACTTCGCACTCCTTCAGCCTCTGCAGAACTAAAACAAACATGAATGGGTAATAATCATTTGATAACCAGTAAAGTGAGGCCTTGCTCTCCCTCCCCTTTGAAAAAGTTGTCAGACATCTTTTGGATTCCTTCCCTGCTGTTTCACCTCATTTTATAAGAAAATTAACTCTAAAGCTGAGGATATAGATGAGCAATGTGATGCTTTCAAACTGTGTTCCATATTCTGGCTCACACAGATCCTTGGGGCCTGTTCTCACAAGATTTGCTACAGGGAATAGAGCTCTTCTGCAGGATCTGGAATAATCAGATGGATTACCAGCCAGCATGGAGACTGGCCTGGAAGCTGCTGGCACACCCTCAACAAGCCAAGAGAAACTGCCTGTTTATGCTTGATCACAATAGCTACACTTGCATATTTCCCTCCTCCACCTCCACATTTCCCCAACTCATTAAAAGCCATTTCCAACAATTCTTATAGAATCCAATGTTACGAGCTTTAACAAAACCAAGTGCCAGGTGCTGCACTTTGGCCACAACAACCCCCTGCAGTGCTACAGGCTGGGGGAAGAGCTGCTTGACAGCTGCCAAGCAGAAGAACCCTGGGCTCACTGTCTGCTGTCAGACTGAACATGAGCCAGAGTGTGCCCAGGTGGCCAAAAGGGCCAATGGCATCCTGGCCTGTACCAGGAGCAGTGTGGCCAGCAGGACCAGGGCAGGGACTGGCCCCCTGAACTCAGCAAGTGAGGCCTCACCTTGAGTGCTGTGTCCTGCTCTGGGCCCCCCAATTTAGGAAGGACATTGAGACGCTGAAATGCATCCAGACAAGAGCAACAAGGCTGGTGAAGGGTCTGGAGCACAAATCCTATGAGGAGGCTGAGGGAGCTGGGGTTGTGCAGCCTGGAAAAGAGGAGGCTTGGGGAGACCTTATCACTCTCCACAACTTCCTGAAAGGAGGATGTAGCCAGGTGGGGGTCAGTTTCTGCTCCCAGGTAAAGCCTTAAGCTGCGCCAGGGAAGTTTAGGCTGGGCATTAGAAAGAAATTCTTCACAGAAAGAGTGAGTGGGCACTGCAATGGGATGCCCAGGGAGGTGGTGGAGTCACTCAGTGCCATGGTCTAGTTGACAAAGTGGTGTTCAGTCACAGGTTGGACTTGATGGTCTTAAAGGTCTTTTACAACCTACTTAATTCTGTGTGATTCTGTGAAATTAAAGTACTCCCTCTTTGTAGAGCTTGCTTCCTTTTTTTCCCCACTCTAACTGAATTTTCTCTTCCAAGCTGGCAGTTGCTTGTTTTACAACAGCAGAGAGGAGGCCAGGCCACAAAGGATGTGTTTTCTGCTGGTGGTGTAGGTGGTCATCCAGCACAAGGCCTTGGGATCAGCTTCCAGCTTCTCCCACCAACCTGGAAGTAGCACTACCCCTTTCAGGAAGGCAACACGTTCCCAACTTCTATACCTTGAATTGCAGAGGGTCAGTTGGAGCAGACAGGACCTTAAATGCATAAAAAGCAACTCCTGCTCTGAGCTGTTTAGGCAGTAGGAAAGTCACACAGACTTTCCTCCCCACTCCCTTACCACTACACCTGCTCAGCTCCTCCAATAAACCAATGAAGGAGAATTTACTCAAGCTCAGACCATTTCCAACACTCAAAAAGCTAAACACAATTGTCCCCATGCTTATTTTTAAAAATTCCAATGGCAAATGTGTAAACAACATTTGTCCTCTACAGCTCTTGAAGCTGAGATACCACAGCCCACTGTAAAATGACACAAAATTTTCACTATCCAAACTTTAAAAAAAATACCTAAATCACCCAAATGGGATTTATCAAATTCCCGTGTTAATGCAGGGTAACATGAGCAACAGGGAAGGATGTTTAAAACACTTTCATTTTAAATTAACATCTCTCAATAACAAGGATAGGGAAAAGAGGATTCTTCCATCTACAGGCACACACTGTTCCACATGTCCTGGGATTTAACAGCTATTCAGGAAAAGGAATAGCAAATACACAGCTGGACACTATGGCCAATCCCCATTTCAAAGAACTGGAGCTAAGCCACAGTGATTTTCTACGTAAAGATGTTTTATCATTATTGTCAAGTGCTGTAATGGTTTTTTAACTGTAGCAACAAGGATGAGGACGGTGAGGATTGCAAACCAAAAGCAAAGCAGCAAAGACAGCATCCCTGTTTACCTGTACATTACCACATCATGTGTAAGGCCATGACATTTTGCTCCTTCAACTCAAAAAATATAGCAGCTTCTCATAAGGGCAAACACTTCCCTGGTTACTTCAAGACAGTTATGACAAGGTACATGCATCTAAGAAGCCAACTCTTCTTGTGAAACCAATCCCATGGAACTTGGACCATTTACCCCAGACAAACGTGGTTTCCTGCAGTTATAGAGTCCCAACACAGACAATCTGACCTGCTGTAGATAACTGTGGCGGGCAGAGGTACACGTATCTCTGAATTTTCTCTTCCCTACTACCAGAACTTGAAACAATCCTCAAAACTTCAGCATTAAGCTATGGTGTCCTCTAGCACTGCTGTCAGTGCACTCAACTTTCCCTCAGAGCAACAGGCTGGCACTGTGTCTAGGAAAAGCATTACAAAAGCTGCTTACTCCCAGCCACAAGGGAGGAGCCCTTCTCTATGGGCCCACTGGAGCCCAGCAGGTTAAAACAGAAGACCCTTTGCTCTATGAAGCAAGGAAGACACACCAGCCTACGAGATGGCAGCTACCCAGGATTCAAGTACCTACTGTGGCTGGAAAAGGAATTTGGGATTGCACCAATGGCACTAGGAATTCACTACCTACAGGCATTTTTTGTCATGGTATTTTCAAACACTGAACCTCTTCCACTGGGCTGCACTGGTAGAGGAAGAAGGAGGAGACAAAAGTCATTTTCAGGAATGGACTCCTGCAGAGATGGGACAGAGGGCATTCCTACATGTTGGACTTCTCAGCCTTCAGTTTTTAAGCAATTCTCAGTGAACTGTTCCCGCAGAGCTAAGCTGTCACACAGCCCATCTCATCTCAGGTGCTTCTAGACATCACAAGCTGCCCCTTAACTGCAGCCCCCCCAAGGCCAATGCCAGTCCCAGTTAGGCATTCTGTCCTGCCCTATCACACAGAGGATGCTGGAAGAAGAGCCTATATAACAGATATATGTATATTTAAAGTGTGTCTGCACCCAGCGAGCAAGCAGGTTTAGCCCCTGCTCTCTGGGCAGCAAAGGGCTAGAAAGGCTGATAAGCTGCAACAAGCCGGTGTGAGGAGGAGAAAGGCACAAGAAAAGAGCAGCTCTTCAGAGACTGCTGTCAAACATCTGGCTGGGGAAGAGGAGAGGAGAGCTCAAATCCACTCTGTTCCTTGAGCCCCTGATGCTGATGGAATGGGGAAGCCAGTGCTGCACCAACTCCACTGGTGCATCCAGGAGGCAACCTGGCGACATCCTTTGGATCTTCAGCTGAGGGCATCTCTTCTTGGAGGTATCCAGGGTACAGCTTGCGAGGATGGGGAAGACTGCACAGAGTGCTTCTGTCCCAAAGGCAGGGAGAGGAGGAAGAAATCCAAAATGGAGAAAACTAGACAAACACAGCAGACCTCATGCTTCCTTCAATAAGGGAATATCTGAATGGCAGGGAGAGAAAAAAAAAAGAAAAAGTAGTCAAAGTTCTGTAGTTTAACATACACCAGAAAAAGTACTATTGAAAGCAAGACAGGCTCCCACTTTCAAAATGTGACAATGCAGTGTCTTCCTCTCATCACATCACATCACAGCACAAAGGAACTCTGGAGGGCTCTGCTCCAACCTGCCCCTGAGAGTGGGACCATCACCAGCTCCAGCCCCGAAAAACTCCAAGAACAGATTCCATCACCACTCTGGGTTTATATCGGGTCCTGCATTACCCTCCTAACACAAAGCATTTCTTAATATCACGGAAAGGGGAATTTCTGCCCTGAGCTATCTACAAGCCAGTTACATTTCTTGCCTAAGACACAGTAGTCCCTGTAGAAGCAACTTTAAGCTACATCTTCACATCAGCTCTGGCATTGCAAAGCCACTCCTTCAGGACAGCACAGAAGTGAGGAATAAAAGATGTTTTGACTGTTCAACAGACTTGCCCCTCTGCCCTCTACAGTAAGTTCAAGCACATCCCTCTTAGGTCTTGCAGGCTAAGGCTGCAGCACTGAATGCTTTGTGGCAGAAAGCTGCTCACTAAAATACTCTAAAAATTAAGCAACCCAACCATCACAAAGGGTTTGTATTCCAAGCATGTCCTCCCACTCCCACCAACTTAGTTTCCACAAACACAGTTATTTTACTGCTTTTGCATTATGATGCTAGAGGCTGGATTTCTCTGAAAATCCTTTGTTACAACAAAAGTAAGCAGTAGACAAACTTGCTCAGACTGCCCTAGGCTCCCAGTTCTGAGAACACAGAATTCTTCCGAAGGTATTAAATACTGCTTACATGTTTAAGAGGTGAAACATGCTATAGAGACTGGATCAGTTCAAAAGCTGCTCCAGTGGCAGACACACATAGGGGCATCCCTTGCCATTTTTCACCCTAGATAATCAACTCAGAACCTACTCTTAAAAGGGTCTAATTTAGTGCTTCTTGCACAAGCCACTTACCATCTGTGTATTCCTCAGAGGAAGTGAGTGATAAAAGGCTCTGTATGTCACTGCTTTCTGAATCTTGGACCTCTTTGTGTACAGGTCTACTGCTAGCCATGCCAGCTACCCAGGAAGAGGTAGCAGCCTGATGCACAAGAACAGTTTCAGAGCGCTGAGAGCCACTGGCTTCACACAGTCCAGAATGTCCAGGGGCTTCATCTTCTCTTTCAAAGGTATTGTGAGCCCCTTGGTCCTGCTGCTGCATCTCTCTGGGTCCAGTCTGTCCAGCTCCCTCTGAGAGCACGATCTGCACTCGGGAGTCTGAGGGTGGAATGCAATTCCCTGTGCTGCCATATACTGCTTCTTCATAGGATGGCAAGGCCACTTGGACACCATCCACCATAATAGAGACCTGATCTCCAGACACACCTTGGTCCCGCCTCAAAAAACAAAGGAACAAAGGAGGGGGGAGAAAAAAGAAATCAAGTTGAGTATTTACTTTCCTATATATATCCTACTAAGAACCCAAGTAATCTCCTTTGGCAGAACTGTAACTCTCACAATTTAGGGGAGGACAGAAACTTGAATGGTGATTAAAAAAGGTCAAGCAAGCAGTCTTGGAGCCCCATGTGAGCTGCCACTAAACATGAGCAGGGGCTGTAATTCGCAGCACCCGATGGATTTAGCAGCAAGAGTTGAAAAGGTTACAATGCTTCCCCCACTCCCTACTTACCACCATAGCTAAATTTGACAAAGGTCATGACTCAGCTCTGTGCTTTTGGCAAAGAGCACAGCCTGGTGCACTGCTACATTCCACAACACCCAGCACTGTCTGTTCCGCCGGCCAGGTAACCTCTGGCACGATGGGGAAGACAGCTCTGGCACACCATGAATCATCTGGCCTTGTAAGACCTGAGAGAAAATTTTTCTTTCCTAGTAGTTTGGGTCTTTTCAGAAGAGGGCAGACTGCAGGACCCCACTTCTCAACCTCCCCACGGCTGGAGTGTCTGCCTTAGCTAGCAGCAGTGTTATGGCTGGGTCTCTCCTCTCATCCACAAACCCAGGCCAGGAGGATTCTCCTGCAGCAGAAAACAATGGCAGACTTGCACATGTATCTGAAGAGCAGGACTGCTTAATCCCTGAAGCAGTCAGGGAAAGATGCACATATATACACCCAGACACAGACTTCAGTAGCTATCTGAGGCTAGAAGAGGTAGGAAACTGACCTACAGCCAGGCTAGTAAGTATAGTAACTTTTTCCATTCAAAGCCAAGGCAAGAGCATAAGGAAGTCACTCAGTGAGTGGCACCTAAGACTGGGACTGCAGGAGGGCATCACAGACCACCATTTCAGAAAAGTGCTGGATCGGCAGGATGGGGCAGAGATGTCCCTGAGGTGATGAAAAGAGGAACAGAGAAGCAAGGAGCCAGGTTGCTCCAAAACAAAGGTCGGACCCAACTACCCGAATGGGTTTCTACTGCAAAGAAACAGGGGGCCTCTGAGCCCCTCCAAACGCAGTACACTCACCTGCTGTGATGGAACGACTTCAGCTTTGGCTGCAGCAACACAAACAGCACAACCAACAGCAGAATCAGGGCGACAGAGCTCGCTGTGGAGGCTACTATGGACAGTGTGGGCACTCCAATTGTGGGAGGAGAGTCCTTCTCTACAAAACCAAGGGGAACACAAGGTAAAATGTGTAACATAGAGAAGGAAAAACATTCACACTGCTCCTCAGGACTTACTCCTGGGTGCGTGTGCAAGGAACCCAAGTTTCCCATACAAGACACACCACCTATCTCAGTGCAGCTCAAGCTGACACCTCTCCATCAGCTATAAAGGGAACCCAAAATAAAACAGGCATGTACAAGGGTCCTTGGAAAAACACACAGCTAAAAGAAAAGCAAGGGAAGCAGGCCATGGGAACTGACAGATGGTGTTAAGGGTCATGTTATGTATAGAGCTGCCTGAGCAAAAGCTAGAGAATGTCATGATGTCCCCAGCAAGGCCAATAATTGTCTAGCACAATAATCAACCTATTTTAGGCCAAACAACAGAAAAAGTTCCAAAAATCATTTTTTCTCAACTAATGTAACAGCCTTGCAAAGAAGGGTGGAAGTCAACTGGCTAGTTATTATTATGCACTTATTACAATTAAGACACAAAAAATATTAAGTTTCACTCACACACAAACAAATGCCAGAGGATAGAGAAGGAATGCAGATGTTTTTTCAGGGTGCTGTTTTCAGTGTTGGGTACATGTGCCCTGTTCACGTTACTCTTTCCTGCCCTTCTGCAGCTGTGCTGTGCGACTGCACGGAAACCAATTTGGCTTTTAAAAGACCTGTGCAGGAATAAACTGGGAGTGAAGAGAGAAGGGCTTGGAGGTGGTATTGCTGAGCACTGCATACCATGCCTAGAAGGCTACACTAGTCCTTTCACCTCTCTAGAGGAAATAATTTTCTCTGTGTGTTGTTTCTGTCCCTTTGTTATTTGTGCCTTTGGTAGGGATCCAAAAAGCCTCACCTACCTATCAGCAAATACTACTGTGAATTGCACATTTGGTTTATGCAATTCCTCAGTTCATCCTATATCCAACACATTCTTCAGGAGCACAGGGCTCAGACTGCAGAGGGAATTCAGGACACATGCAATGAGGGATGAGAGGCAGAACAACAGGTAAACAGAAATAAAAGAGTTGGAGGATCATTATTTTTAAGCCTACCGCCTGAAATCTATCCCAAGATAGGCATTTAAGATGGAAACCTAGTTCGCAATTTTCTGCATCATCTCTTGGGGTCAAACCTACTTGGTTTAGTTGTTTTAAACTTGTTTCTTTGAAATCTTTTAGAAGTAGCTTGACCCCTCTTCAGGGAAAAAAACCCAAAAACCAGTGACCAGCACATTTTTCTCTATGGCAAATAGGGTTGAGTAAGGATTTTAACTTCCAGCATTCCTCAGGGCACTAACAGGAACAAGGGAAGATGACCCATTTTCAGCATCAGTACATGATGCTGTCAAACTGCTCACTATCCAGGGTGAACTCCAGAACATTTACCATCTCATATGCCAAAAAAATGTCACTACCTCATACAATAAACTGCCAAAAGGCTATGGGGCTGACAGGCTCAGAGCTGCACAAAACATGTGATAACTGCTAGGGACTTATTTATCTATATGGAGCAGGTAGGATCTTACCCTTATCAATAATTTTAAGACTACTGCCTTTCTAGAGTCTCCCACCTCCTTCCCCTTCTTTGAGCCTTTTGAAGGAGACCCACTAGTTAAGAGTCAGCTATCTCTGACCCTGAACAGTTGATTTAAAGCTTGTGTTGTGAAAGCAATGGCTTTTTCACTTTTAAGGCACCATATTTTTGGTAATGCCACTGACCCTTCAAGATGCTAAAGAAATCTGAGGGATTTCTGTTCATCACAACACTATCCTTTAGCTAGACCAAGTGCCACCATGCAGGAGTGCCACTCAGGGAACACTATGTGCAATAGCACAGCTTTGCCCTCTGGCTTGGCTGCACCAAGGGGAAGGGGGATCACTGCAGAAAGGAAGCTTAAGCTGAATTTGAAAAACCCCTTCAGGATTCATTTGCTGCCAGGTAAACTCTCAGAGCCTTCCTTATAAATCACAGGAAGGGGCTATTGGAGTGGCATAAAAATACAGTGTCTTTGGGACAGGACGTTCCAGAGATCACAGGTATGCAGTGAGCTCCATAAAGAATTTGATGAAGGTACTTTTTTTTCCCCTGTTGCTTTCCAATTAAGCTGACACATTTTGCTTCATGTATTATGAGACTTAATTCTGAAGTGTACATCCTGCTGGCTCAGCAGGACTGAGTAGTAAGGTTCTACCAACAAGCCCACCTACAAGAGGAGAGAGAGTTCTCCTTTTATCCAATATACCCACTGTTAAAAGCAGAAGAGTAGTAGGCAAATTAAGAGTTGTACTATGAATATTTTCCTGCAAATCTTTTTACTTTGCTGCTTTGATGGAGGAATTCCTGTTCAGCTGGGGAGACACAAAACAAAAGCTGCCCACTTCTATTTGGAGAGAAGCAGAAATCATTTGTCAGCAATGTCCTTTCCCACCAGTACAGTGAAAAGCAGCACCATCAATCTTTTCAGCACAGGAAACCAATGATTACTTAACCTGTTTGCCAGGAAGATTGACTCCACACACACACACACACACCCCCCTGCACAGACTCACTGAGGGAGATGCACAATCAAACCCATCAAGGAAAACCAGACAGCATGGGAAAATGCTACTGTTAGGGCTTCCAGCATTCCTGGGATGAGAGCCTCAAGATAAGAGGCTCCACATAAGTAACAAGTTGCCTACTTTATACTCCTGTCCATGGCTTTTCTCCTTGTGTTAGGGACTCTAAGTCTGCATTTGACAGGCTGCTACTGAAGAGACATTTTAAAGAAAGAGTCATGATTGTGAGCTGCATTTATGAAATTGCTGGAGCAATGAGAGACAGCCATATGGACTTCCTCAGCATCACACTAAGTGCTTAAGGATAATCTGAAAAGTCAATGCAAGGGCAATTCCAGAGTTAGGGAGCACTCACCTGGGCTAAGTCTGCAGCTGACTTCCATGGCTGGGTTCCACTCTCCATTCTTGCATGTCAAGTACTTATAATCTCCTTTCAGCATGTAGCCTTCAACACACAGATATTCTATGACACTGCCTGAAGTCAGAGGGTTGTTGCAGGGGCTAGGGTGGCATTTATAGCCTCCATTCTCAGGTTGTGGTGGCTGGGGACAATCTGGTAAAAAAGAAAATATCATGAAGGATGTCTCAGAAGAAGAGACTTTTTACACAGTATATATGAAACACAGGCAGATTCTACCTAGAAACACCCACTAAATTAGGAAACTACTAAAACCAAGAAGAAAGGCTGTTACACACTGCCAGAGAACACCTCTGATAACGTTTCTGTGATTGATAAATACTGCTTGTTATCCCAGTAGTACAGTCCAACCGGCAGACACCAAACTGGTGATATTTTTGAACAGTGACACAACACAGATTCTGCATGAGAGAGGACCAGGAAATCCTTACTGCTATCTTCTCCCCACAGCTGTTTTACTAGAGACTGGGGTGAACCTAACAACCAGGCTTTCCTATTAGCCTGGCAGGGAGAGAGTGCAAGACCTGTTGAAAGGAAAGAAGAATGCAAAAACCCCTCTGTACTATGGGCACACAGTGTCAAGGTGCAGATCTGCCTCATCATAAGGCACCCTACAAGCCTGTAAAAGCACACAGATTTTGACTATTTTACACAGATATGCCACCAACAAGATTGGCAACAGAGCTTTGTTGCTGTAGGATAAACTGCCTCACTGAAAGGATAGTGAGGCATTGAAACAGGCTGCACATGGGATGGTGAAGTCACCATCCCTGGAAGAGCTCAAGAAACCACTGGACAGGGCACTCAGTGCTATGGTTTAGTTACATGGTGGTGTTCCATCAAAGGTTGGACTTGATCATCTCAAGGGGACTTCTAGGACCAAAAGTTCTAGTCTACTTTTAAAAAGGAATTCAGTGTATTAGGAAAACATTTCTTAAAAAAACCCTCTGTTTGAGTGTTAACAGTGCTTCACATTCCTTTTTGCACCTCCATTACCCTGACTAGTGGGTACAGGCCCATGTGGTATCTAGCACATACCAGAACTTTTCTTGCAGAATTTTCAACAGCCATTCAAATAAAAACAACAAACAAAAATGGAGGAAACTGCACTGAAAACAGGATATTTGTCTTGCTCAGAACTTCCTCTCTTCTGGCAGGTCACAATGACCCTACAGAACAGCCCCAATAACTTCCGCTGACATGTATCTGCCTGGCTGAAAGATGGAGAAATCCAGATTTTTCCCTTAAAATTCACATCAACTTCCCAGACTTCATAAAAGAAAATACATCATAGATCCCTCTGGAGACATTCTGGGGTATGGAAAATCAGTCAACCCACTCGGGGTGTTCCATCAGAGCATGGTGACCCAGGCCTGTCCTTAAATCCCAGAGCACACATTCTCCCATGTTCTACCTCTAATGTGACTCACTCACTGTGGGACAAACAGCAACAAACAGCTGGGCAAAGTTCAAGAAATTGGCTTTTTAGCAAGATTTAAGAAACAAAAGAAAGCTTGAGATTCATTCTCTGTGGAAAAATTTGCCACATTGCTTAGTGCAAACAACTCTTGAACCTAAACACGTGTGAGAATGCAGCAAAGGTAGTGCTTGCAAATGCCAATACACCCTGAGATGAAGTGCTGACTGAAGGCAAAAATGCTCTGGTATGGGTTCAGCCAGCTTTATAACTGCAATTCAATTTACTTCTTCAGAAAAGGTTAACAGGGGTCTAAGCAGCAGCTTTTCAAGAGGACTTTGCTCTTGAGATTTATTCTTAAATAAGCTTCAGAGAAGTCACTGTCCTGTGCCTCATGAGTTTTAACTGTTACCTCTTCTGTGCTTTTCATCTTTTCTTTCTGCAATAATTTTGTAACCAGTGTTTTAATCCTGCACATTGTGAGGCTGAACTTCCTTTCACTGTGAACCTGTGAAACATCTCAGGGCAGTTGGGATCAGCCAAAGCAACACATTAGTGGCACATTTCACATTCAAGCACATAGACAAATGCCCTGCTTCATCTGCAGTCCAGGAGAGGTTTTTGTGCTAAAAATTGCAAAACCATCTGAGCACCAGAGACATTTTTAGTGGTTTAGCAGGTACCTCTCCTGGCACAGGTGGAGAGCTGTGGGTAAAAGACAGCACCACCACAGCAGTTGCCAAGACTCAAGAGCAGACAGGACAACTTCCCTACAGCTCCTTATACCACAGCAGGTACCTGGAATTGCTTGGGAGTCATGCACAGCATCTTTCTGCTGACTGCAGCAAAGAGCTCAGTCCCACAGTTCTCTTTTCTCCTGAGCTATGCCCAGGAGCTGAGCCTGGCCACTGCACTAGGAGCCCTTCTGCACACAAAGCAGCTCACTGTTGGTTCCCCTTCTATCCCACCTACACTGATGAGATTTTTCAGTTACATACAAAAATCAGCCAGCCAACAAGGAACAGGCACTCAATACTTTGCAATAGCACTCTCAAAGGCTTGGAAACACCACCACATCAGGCACCTGCAGAACCCTGACCTGGTCTTCAGGAGATGCACAGCTATTGAACTGCAAACTGCGATTCCTCCTCACCTCCACAGACCACTTGGACAGGAAAGGAGAGAAGCAGCTGGTAAATGTGTTCAGGCAGTTATGCCTGACTTGTCCTGTTCTCAGGGAAGGGATTACAGAATCAACCACCTCCCGTTCCCTCTACCCCCAACCTTCAGTTGTCATCACAGCATGCAGGAGTGCACAAGTATTTTAAAATGTCACATTCACTGTGATGGAAGAACACTGCCCGTGTACTGGGAAATACATGAATAAGGTACGGATTAGGCAGCCAGAACATCAACACCCTCTACATGATCGAGCTGATCCTGGAGTGTCCTTTCCAAGGCAGCCTCAGGGGAACAAAGCTGCTCAGAGCCTGCAGCTCTGGGGAGGTCTACTAGACAGTGTTAATGGCACTGAAAATTGCTGATGGCAAGGCTTGGGTGGGTAAAATGATGAACTGGTGGTACCTGAAAAACTGAGACAGTCAAAGTCTCTGTGCTTGGCATCTCTGACAGAATGCAGCACCTCTGCAAACCAGGGAGCAGTCCAGCATAACAGGCATCCAGAATGCCTAGGACACAATGCAGCAACCTGTTTCCTAAGCTTTCACTGCCCTCAGCTTTCGCATTCTCCATAACAGGTTTCTTCAACTGCCTCCATATGTGCACTCTAAACTGGTGCTAACAGAAGACAAAGCACAAGTTTGATTCTGCACCATCCTTTACGTCTCCAGCAGCAAAGCTTGTGCCCAAGCTTGCAGCACTGGTATGTTCACAACAATGCAGAACCAGGCAGAGCATCCCATTTACTGCTGTCCACAGAAAAAAGCACTGACACATCAGGGGTGAAAAAAGCTGGGTACCAGCTGCTGCCAGAAGGCAGACCCAGAGTAGCCTGTGCCTGCCTGTGGTCAGCAGCCAGAAGGGGCTGGGGCTGAACTGTGCATTACTGCCCTGGGGCACATCTCTGTCGGGATGGGTCACTGCTGGGAACAGAAAGATACATGCAGGAATTTCATCAACTCCCTCCCTGAAACACGTCTTTTTGGAAGTACCCCAGGGCTTGTGAGACATCTTAAGACAAATGTTCATGCCAGGGAGGGAAGAGTAAGACAGCCAAGTTACAGAAGTCACCAACTTCCAAGGGGGTTACTGACATTCTAGGCTCACATAGCTATTGCCAGGATCTTGATTCATCAAGCTTTCAGGATGCACAGAAATAGGTTTTAAGCATTTCTCCACTTTGTACAAAGGAGCAAATGCTCCCAAAGGCCCTGTTTCTAGGAGGTACTGAAGCTTATGACATCTCCTGAGAGAGCTGGTTCTTTGCCAGCATATGCTGCTGGAAAACAGAAAGGAAACAGAAGTCCAAAGACTTAGAACATCGTTGAACTCCATTCAGAGATAAAAAAATTGTCCTTTCCAGATTGACAGGCAGAAATTAAGTTATGCATTGGAGCTTCTGTAAATGCCATTCCAAATCACTAGGTATTTAATATACAGTTTTTTAATATGTACATGAAAAAATACTAAGCCAGTATGTACCTCCACCCAGCATCCCACCAAACCACCTATAAGCATCGTATTTTTCTGTTTTAGTCACATGAAAAAATACTGTCCTCCTTCAAGGAGGGCTAACTGCTCTGATGTTCTTTGAATAGCTGTTACCAGCTGGACAATAACCACTACAACACTAAGGAATCTCCTTTTTTGTTGCAGCGACAGCAACATCACATTGTACTTTCACCAGCTTCCTTTTCCATGGCTCTCCTTCAAGCAGCAATCCTCACTTGCTTCCTCTTCCACCAGATTCACAGACAGCTGTGCGGAGCTGGAATCCAGCTTCTTTTAGAGACAGTAAGATATCTCAGTTGGCCAAATTGATTCATCTAATCACCAAAGGATGAAATGGTTCTTTCATGTCCTGGCTGAGCTGGAGCTGAGCAGTGGTCCTGAATGTGAACCAGATGCAGAACTAAAAGCATTTCCAGCATAATGTAACAAAGACTCAAACCCGAGCCATGGTCATATATAATGCCACAGATGGAAGCATATGGTCTGTGTGCTGACACAGAAGTGAAAGGTTTAAGTGCTCAGAACATAAACCACAGAAGCACAGTTGAGCCGTGATCACTGAGAGTGAAATTCACAGATAAGCAGAAGATTTACAAAGCTCAAGCAGGATGAGCCTGTTGTGGCAAGCACGAAGAACAATACACTCCACTCACATATACAAAGAAAGATTAAATCATACTTCAATCTGACTGGATAATTGTCACAGAATTATAAAAGCTCCTCAGTATTAACCTTCTTTGCACAGGCATAACACCACATAGAAGTGTAAGACCTCTCTACAGTCTAATTTGCTTGGCACTGTCTCTATTTTCTTCAATCAGTAAGATTCATGGACTCTGCAAGGGGTCTTACACCCCTCTTTTCTGCACCAAGCTGAACTGTTTTAGTCACTAACCTCTTTTACTGGGCCATCTGACTATATAGAGATGAAAACCCAATTCTCCTTAAAAAATGCATTTTTATGAGAAAAATACCAAAATCCAAACAAACAACTAAACAAAAAACACCACTCCAACCAACCAATAAA